GCCGTGGGGGCCCAGTCCAGCTGCCCTTCAGTGATCTGGTCCAGGATAAAACGGCCAATGTTGCCTTCCCGCATGCGTCCAACATAATGGATTCCTGTTGAGAGGTGGAAAGAAAAGGAGGTACAGATACAAAAGGATAATAGAAATGTGCCAAGTAAGGAAGAGGTTTCCCTGCCTGGCCAAGTTCATGCCCAGAGAAGGCTGCCCACCCGTTCTAAAGGAATCTACTAGAACATATAATACCCAATGCTTGACAGGCCAGACAGAAATGGAGATGCACAGAAAGAAGTTGGGACCTCCAAAACATACAGGTGACCCCTAATTATCCCATTGTGCATACCCAATATCACCCCATAGTGCCCGTCCCTAGCCGCCCAAAGAGAGAGCCAAGCTCCCAACGCTTTTCCGCACAAGCCTTACCAGTGTCAAATTCAAGGCCATTTTTGCCGAAGGTATGACAGCAGCCCCCTGCCTTGGTATGTTGTTCCAGGACAAGGACTCTTTTGCCAGCTTTAGCCAGAATCACAGCTGAGGCCAGACCCCCAATGCCACTGCCAATCACCACGGCATCCAGCTTCTCTGGTACTCGGCTGGCTGAGAATGCTGGAGAAGGGAGGAGACAGAGGGTGGGNGACCGCGAGGGGTGCACCCACACACTGAGACAATAAGGATGTTCTATCGGGAACTCACCAAGGCCTGCTGGCCTGGGTCTGAAAAAGCCTGGGTTAAAACCAGTCTAGCTGAACATAGTGGACAATGAGGACTACTGAGACCTCAAGAACAATGGCAATGGGTTCTTGATCCTACTGCACGTATTGGCTTTGTGGTAGCCTAGGCAGTTTGGATGCTCACCTTACTAGACCTGGATGGAGGAGGGTGGTCCTTGGACTTCCCACAGGGCAGAGAACCCTGATTGCTCTTTGGGCTGACGAGGGAGGGGGACTTGATTGGGGAAGGGGGAGGGAAAGGGGAGGCGGCGGTGGGGAAGAGACAGAAATCTTTAATAAATAAATAAAAAAAATAAAGTACCTGGATTAGTACACCTTAGGAAGTAGACACACAGGATCAGGAATACATGGTCAGTCCCCAGTAAATAGTGAATTGAGGTAGCCTAAGCTAAAGTTTACAAGCAAGAGTCCCCTGGAGGTCAAACAAGAGATCCTTGTTTGTTTTTTGAAGGTTTTACATTTGAGGGTTTTGGTTATATGGTGTTTGTTTAGACAGTGTCTCTCTGTGTATTCCAGCCCGGAATTGCTAATTTGCACCACTATGCCCAGCTCAAACACTTTTTTAGTATTTTGAAGGCCGGGCATGTTGGTCCCTGCTTGTAATTCCATCTTCCTGAAAGCAAAAGCAGAAGGGCTGCTCCGAGTTTGAGCCTGGGCTTCATGGTGAGTTTGAAGCCAGTTCCAATCCAAAAGTGAGACTTGTTTCAAAACCACAAAGACTAAAACCCTTTTGAGCAACTCTACTCGTATTTACAGATGTCGGGTTGGTGAGGAGTGGTGTTCTTATCCCGAAGTAGTAATGAAACTCTGAAAGTTTATAAAGCTTTAATTCTATGAACTGGGACTACACTTTGCCTATCAAAACCACTTGTTGGGAAAATATTCTGTACTGCTCCCCATACATTGCAGCTTGCACTGGAGCATAGGGAAAAGTTGGTTCTAGAACCAAGTAGGTGAAAGGCCTCTTATTCAGTGTGACCTGTTACCTGAACAGATTCCAGCCGGAAGGGATGGGTCTAGCCAACATCTTGGCGTGCCAAGAGTAGTGCTCACACCCAGGAGCAAAGAATACTAAGACGTGAGGTCTCTTGTGCAAGTGAGTTTTCCCAGCACTTGGGGGGGGGGGTGACAGGGTTTCTCTGTAGCTTTGGAACCTATCCTGGAACTAGCTCTTGTAGACCAGGCTGGGCTCAAACTCACAGAGATCCGCCTGTTTCTGCCTCCCTAGTGCTGGGATTAAAGGCTTATACCAGCATCGCCAGGATGCCCACCACTTTTCTAATGGGCAGACAGGTCCATGCCCTGCATAAGCAGAAGGCCTGAGAGCAGTCCTGGAACCCACAGTCCCTCCAGCTGACCTTGTTTGAGAACCTTCTTCCTAGCCTCCTTGTCGGTCACCAGAGGTTCAGGTGGCCGCTTGACGTCCTCGGCGAAGGGGTTCGGGGAGTTTCCGCCAAAGAGACCAAGGTAAACCCTGCGGAGACCCGCCAGCAGCAGCGCGGCCAGCAGCAGCACGGTGAGCCACATCTTGCTGCCAGGGCAGGGAAGAAGGCGTCCTTTCCGTCTGAGCTCGACTTTTATGACTGAAGCTCCGCCCCAATAGTTTGTCTTTAGAGGAACAACTAGCAAAGCATGATTGAAGAACTTTGACCAACGCTCAAAGCTGATTGTCTTCCTGGCTCTTTCTACGACGTGTGCGGTGTGGGATTTGCATTCCCTCCTGGGAAATGTAGTTCTAGCAGGGGACAGGCGCTGCTGAACGACGGCACGATAAGGCTCCGCAGGGGATGTGGGACCCTTACTGGAACGTTGGGTACGCGTTAGGTAAGCCAGGGGTGGGATGAGGGAGATTGGGGTAAGGGGGACAATGTGGGATGGAAATGTTCACCGTGGGGCCACACAAGGCTGAAAGTTGCAGGTCTGAGGGCGATCGCGTTGGGAGGCAGAGAAGACCTGGGTTCTGGTGCCAGTTCTGCAATGGATTCGCTGAAACCTCGGAGGCAACTCATTGCTTTCCTCCTCTTTCCCTTACAAGCAGTGAGAAAGTTTTTGTCCCCGCGTCCCCACCCACCCTCCGCCGGTCTGGGTTACTTGGTGAGTTGAGAGCCCAGTTGAGAAACTGGGCAAGCGCTCTCCTGATCTGTAACTCCCTGCTGAAAACTGGTCCCTGAAGTTGCCCCTAGCTGGATCCCATAATCACAACTACTCTGAAAGGGGCCTTTAAGTACAGAGCCACGTAGGAACAAGACTCAAGAAAGACCATCATGCCCCTGTGTCCATTTCCATTTAAGGATAAACCAGCTTCTAAATGACCTCTTTAAGTTAGCTCCAGAGGACAGTGTAGCTATCCTACCCTCTTAACGTTGCCCTTTGAGAAAAGTAGGTCCGAGATAAGTACTTGATTTGAGACTGTTTTTATAGGAAGCCCATTTCCTCAAACACCAGCCATCAGGAGGAGGGACTTCACAAGTGAGGATTTTGTCCCTTTCACAGGCCCCAGCAGCGCTCCAGTCGCCCACTGAAAGCAGGGCATGCCTCTGTGATGCTTGGTTTGTTTCCCACACAGTGAGAGGAAAACCTTCCTGAGCCTGCCCAGCAAACCTACCTGTGCCCCTGCCAGGTTAGCTGGTGTGTGTGTGTGTGTGTGTGTGTGTGTGTGTGTGTGATCCTGTGCTGCCATCCAGGCCAAGATGGGAGGAAAGAAAAAGAGAGGTGGATGTTGAGGTTCCAGGGAGAGAAAGCTAGTTCCGGGGGATGCTGCAGGTCAGGGACTACCACATCCTTCCTAAATCACAGCCCAAAAGCTGTCAATGACCCCAGTTTGTTACTAGCAACCAGACTTTGAGGAAGGTAGATCAGATTCCTCCAGTCAAAAGCCGACTCTGGAGATGCCTGTCTTCTGCCTTAGTCCTCAGAGCCTGTGAAGTATGACTGTCGGTTGTGTGAGAACCCTCCAGCCACGTTTTTCTTCCCTTGGTATTAAGGGTGGAATCTAGTGTCCTCCCGCTATGGAACAACTCCGGCCTTTCCACCTGACTCCTTGGTGTGGGTGTGAGCGTGCCTGCCATATAGAAACAGAGAGGCCCGAGGAGGACTGCCAATTGCCCTGTTCTGTCTCTCTGTGCCTTGTGCCTTTGAAGCTGGGTCACTGACAGAACCGGGAACTAGGCGCATCAACAGGTAGTCATTACATCTTCATCCCCTATTGCAGCATGAATCATAAAAACCAGAGACAGATATTGGGGTTCAACCTGAAAACCAGAAAAGCAAAGCAACCAAGTCATTAGAGAAGTCTTACTTCTACAAAGACTGGGCAACTGCGCACTAAGCAGCCTAAGCCTCTTTGTCCTCCCATTTTATATTCCCTCTAGTGCTAGTGCTAGGATTAAAGGTGTGTGACTCCCTAGTTAGTATTGGGATTAAAGGTGTGAGCCACCACTAAACTGGATTTGTTGATGCATTGATCTTGTGTAGCCTAGGGTGCCCTTGAATTCACAGTGATCCATCTGCCTCTGTCTTCCAATCCTGGGATTAAAGTCATGTACCACCACTGCCTGACCTCTAATGGCTTAGCTTTGCCCTTCTCATCTTTAGGCAAACTTTATTTATTAAAACATAAATAAAATATGTATTTTATTTATGTATTTCCCCTTTTTCTCTTAAATAAAAAAGAAGGCTATAACTAATATTAAAAACTATATACAGTAATTACAATAACTATACAATATACAGGCAATAAGTATATCAACAATTTCTAGTCCATTTGCATCTGACAAATTCTGAACAAATACTCCATATCTACCCTACCTTAGTGAGTCCAAAGTCTTATGCCTAATTTACTTTCTATCATGATGTGCTTTCTGTATCTGGTAAACAAGGAAAATGATAACTATAACTATCTAGCCTCCTCAGAGACCCAAGAAGGAAATAACACTAACTGAGTTATTGCTCTTCTTGCAGGAAGAGCAAGCAAGTGACTTCCAAAAACGTGAGTGATGACAGAAACAGCTGGCTTCCTGGACAGTCACCCAAAGTTCTTCTGCAATGTTTGGCAGTCACTTTCTTTTGTGTCCTGCTTATCCAATTAGGACAGCATGCCGTCAGCTGTTGGAGTAAGGGTATTTTCTTGACCAGTGGCTTACTTTTGCCACAGAGAAAGTAAACTCCCTGTGGAGTTTCTTTGATGCCCATCATCTTCTCTGAAGTTTTGGTGCTGCCTGGGGTAAACATATCTCATTGTCAAAAAAAAAATAGAACCTAGGTTATTAAAACATCTTAAATGTTATATTGTTTATCTCAGAAGTCTTTGAAGATGACCTGCCTATATAATATATGTCTTTGTTTGATCTTGAAAACATACCTAATGTGACTACAGGTTTGATTATACTAGGTGATTAACTACTAACCTGCATTTTCTTTGTAATAATAATTTTCAAGGACTAGAAATTTGCATTATGTTGTTAAATGAGTTATATAGGTACAATACCTTGAACAAGAGTAGAAATATATGTGCAGCATGTTCTAACAAAATTCATCTCAATATACAAAAGTCCAATCCAATGTAGATCATTTAAAACTAGTAGTTGATTTTCAAAAGTAGATTCGATAATCTACCTTTTTATCCTATCATATCTATATTCCCCTTTTTTCTTTTAAAAACAAGAACTTGAATCTAATTTCCTTTGTTCAGCTTTTTTTCCTGATCACCAATAGTAACTTGTAACTAATACCCTAAATAATGAAAAATATCCATAATTCCTTGAACAACTAAGCACCACCCACCCCACCTCTCGGGAATGTGGATGTCATATTCTTAAATTTACTTCCTGATGTCTGGGGGCTGTATCTTTAGGGTATCCTGTAAAGAAAAATGTGGCTTAATTGTCAAGTCCTGGGAGAGGTAGCTGTGTCATTTTTTTTTTTGCCCACTCTATATGTGATGGGACAATACAGAGCTTGTCTCAAGTCCTGGCTTGAGTAGTCTATTGGACAAGGAGGGGGGAGGGGGTGGCACATGCCTTTAATCCCTGTGCTTGGGAGGCAGGGGCTGGCTGATCTCTGTGAGTTCAAGGCTAGCCTGATTTACAAGAGGTAGTTCCAGGACAGCCAAAGATGCACAGAGAAACCCTGTCTTGAAAAAACAAAAACAAACGAGCAAACAAAACAAAACAAAAAACCCAAAGAGTAGTCTGTTAGCCTGGATCATCTCAGCTAGCCACTCAAAATTATTCTGCGCACTTTGTAGTCCAAAACCTATCCTTAAGTGGTGTTTTTTAACTTAGTGGTATTATCATAAT